GCTTTACCGAAGAACCTCCGAAGGTTCGCATTTTGAAGTTTATGATAGGTTCCGACGGAAACTTCATATTTGCGATTCCTCTAGATGCAACCTTTTTTTTACCTCGATTTCTCTTGTGCTCCGCAAGATGGTTCGTATCCTTATTTCTTGGTTAGACCTGTTTTCACAATTTTAAAATTCTATCTTTTCAGAGATTTGGCGATCCGGCTCAAACGCACCACCCTTTGATGGACACGTTGCGTCCTATAGTCATTATGCAGCACAGACAAACAGCCCCAACAACGTCGCTACCAGTTCCAATCAGCGACAAACTATCAGAGATTCTTCTCTACATTCTGCGTCTCAGACAGACTAGGACATCCTAGTCCTGACACTCAGACTTTGCTGGCTGTTGGGCCCTCTCTAATCCTCCCTGTCCACCCCTTTTTCCCATGATGATGACAATAATGATGATGATGATGATAATCCGATTCCTCCACATTTACCAGTCTTTTTCATAGCCCCGTCTGATTGGGATAGCCCATCCAGCACTGGGTTCAGTGCCACACACACACACCGCTCTCCCTCTCTGTCCTCTACTTTGACACCGATGCTACTTACTTTTCAGAATTGCTTTTCTATGCTCATAGTTATGATCTTTTTCTCTGCATTCTCTATCATGGGCTTCAGGTTGAATGTTCCGGATCAGACTGGGTTCTATGGTCGCACCATTATGTTTCGAAGCTTTTCTCCGCCACCTTCCGTCTATCTCTTCCCCGCCCCGTCCCCGTTTTACCCACATGCACACAAACGTTCAACTTGCCTCTCAGTCCTTCTTGTCTCTTCTGTGCTTCACTTGCCAAGTCCTAATATGTGGTGCACAACCGAATTCGTGTGGGTGCTTCTCTAAGTGGTGTGTTTGAGGATTAGAGATAAAATTAGGACACCCATAAGACACGAGCGCTCGTTTCGATGCATGTCCTATTACCATTGAAATCGCCCATGTTCTCGACAATATTTTTTTTTTGGCAGGCAGATTTTTTGGACAGACAGATTGTGCCCTCATTCTACTATTTCAGGGGACTGCTTGCTTTCGAACGTATTCGCGCTCCTTCAAAACTGATCTGTCAGCTGCGTGATGCAGCCGTTGTCCTAAAAATTAGTTCGACTAGTTCAGCCGTGACCCTCTTCCGGTTCCTACCTGCCATGCAATCTGAAGGAAGCTCCAGGGCTGGTTCCCAAACAGGAGCAGTCTAGATGCCAGCGTGTGTTCTCAACCATGGGCCTTTCGGTCAGTAAGTTCGCGCCTTGATCGCTGAGCCATCTCAGTTCACGTTGTTGACGAGCAGTTTTGATTGGGATCCAGGATACAACCAAGCGTTTGTTCTCCCTATTGACATTCTCGTTTAACTGTTTCACGTGGTTATGTTCTGAGGAATTGTGCCTGTCTACCTTACAGCCATATGTCCCACATGTGACTCCAAACTTCGAGAACGAATCTAATCCATCCATCTTCCGGAAAAGAATGGGTGTCTTGAACTTACCGGAGATTGGGCAATTGTCAACTTGCTCCATAATTCAAGTAGAACATAAGGTTGACGGAAACTCGGGGACTGCGCCTGCCTGATGAGCCCCAAGAAGGGCGAAACCGGTCGTGAGCTGTCGAAAATTTTTCAGCAACCTTGTGAGTAGTTTCTTTGATCTTCTTTCGACGAGATCATGACTGAATTCGGGGAAGACTGAATGTTGGTGTTGTTGTTGACGTGCAGTGGAACTCTATGTAACTGTTTTCTAGCTTTACTAATGGACTAGAGAGCAATATGGGCACCATACCGGAGACCTGGAACTTTCGGGGCTCCTCATTCCGCAACAGCACTCGTTTCTTGAGTGAAAAATCTTACCCGAGATTCACCATGATGGTTGACAGTTCTGTCTCACGTTTAGAAACGGCGCCTGCTGTATCAGTTGTCTTTGTCGATTCATGTGCTAGGTGTCAGAACTTACCACACAGGTTTCGTCATACAATGCGTTTGACAATTTCCATACTTCCGCTTCTAGATAGAGTGTTGGACAGAATGAAAGGTATCTGTAATCCCATTTCAGCGTTCCGAAGATCCGTTGAACGGACAATCACCCCGACTAAATTGCCTTCCTGATTTCCAAACTGAAGATGGCTTTATGCGTAGGGTTCGCATTCAAAGGCAAAAACGCATCTTCAGAATGTTGGATAGCAAGACGATCAGTTATTCGTGAAAGATGGGAGTAAATTATGTCGGGAGGGCACATACCTCTGGTCACAAACTCCAACAGTTGACGTATAGAAGGCAATATCAGGGGATGAGAAGTAACATTTTGTTCTGGCAACCGACCGAACAGACAGTTGAAATTTCGGTTACAGCTACGACCGATGCCATTGCCCAATTAGTAAATTCACCGTAATCATCGATAGCATGACAGCAGTGTCCATACAATTGGAAAGCGCTGCATGAGGATAGCGAATTTGTGTCCTTATACGAAAAAATGTGAATAAAACAGGTTGACCGGCCCACTGAATGAAACAAATACCACGCTATCGGTTTACGTGGATCTGGTCGCCACAACGAGGGACATCCGTATCAAATTCCGGCAACTACTCACCCCAGTTCTGGCAACAGCGTGTTGCTGTGACTATCCGGATCGATTACCGCGACATAACGAAGCAGTCGACCGAATTCGATCAGTTTTTACGACATCTGGATGGTGCTTTTGAGCAATATGTTGTATAGGCGGAGCATCGTTGAACCGGAAGCTAATGATTCACAACACGAGCTGGTCCCCGAACCACCTTGCCAGTAGACTATTGGGATCGTTCCATATAATCCTCGCCACCCAGCAAAGATAAGAAAAAAGAGGATATGAAATTTGTACTTTTTGTTGACAAGGGCGAAGATTAGAAAAAAAGGGTATGAAATTTTTACTTTTAGTTTCTATTGAAGAGGCTGAAATTAGGGCGTCATTAATAATTTGCATGAAAAGGGACGTTTTTCGGTACGTTTACCTCCAAACGAACTCACACAATTAGCTGTCCACCAAAGATCACTGTGCCGCGTTGGCGTTCATTCCGCATCTTGTAGACGTGCCAAAGAGATTCGGCGGTTTGTGTATGAGCTCCAGCCGTTGGATCCACAAAGATTTGGGTATGATTAACGGTTGGAGTCTGCAAAAACCGCCAGGCGCAAACTTCACGAAAAAAGTTCTTCCAGTCAACAGTGGTCTTGTGGCTAATTCCTCTGAGCGGAATTTGACTTGCCAACTTTTTGGACCAGCAATGAATGAACAGAATTACTGTCCTAAACTCCATCCGAGACCGCTCCAGCCAAGTGCCCTTTCGAAGACCGATTTCTCGCCAACACTATCGGGCATTACACCTCCACCTGTCAGAAACAGTCATTTGGTGGCCGTTGTTTCATAAACGTTGATGATGGGTCGCTCCGTAGCCTTGCAAAAAACAATGTCGTCTCCTTGTCATGAACGAGAGTTGAAAGCGTCACAAGGTTCATTTAAGGTTTTACGTCCGAACGGAGAAAGTTTTTGCACAAAATGGGCCTAGATGTGGATAAGGAATTGTTTTCATCAAGAATGTGTCAAGGCTGTGTGCGTACATTAAATTGGAGCTGGCAAAAGTGGCGGGGCTTAACTTTTTGCACGCGAATTTTTTGTGTTAGTGGTGGAGGTTATCTGGAAAATATCTTGCTATTAAACCTCTATGTGAAGCGTTATGCTTACCCGTTAGTTGTCCCAAACTTAGAGCCTTCGGGTCGTTTTCTCTTAAGCGCAGGTAGATAATTCAGATTTCCGCATCGTGTTAAACAATCAAAAATTGTACATTCCATGCCACAGAGCTGCACATATGCCTCTTGCATGGTTCACCTTAGTTATTAAACTAAGATATTTGGGGGCTGGCAAAACTAATTCTTCGACGTAATGGAACACCGTGATATCACAAAAACATCGAAAGTTTTCGGTATCAGGTACCTTGATAAAATCCCAGGGGCACAAAAGTGTCCGGACACTTGTTGGAAAGTGTCGCGCACAAGGGACTTACTTGTCAACAGAAAAGTAAAAGCGCGGTACTGAGGTCGCAGCATTCTGAGTGTGCGGCATACTAGCATTCTGTGTTTTGCACGCTATTGTATTGCTTTATTCTGGTCGGCCGATGAGGCACAAGCAAAACGGGTAGAGGTATTAAGCAGTATCGACACAATATGGTCGGACGGTTTGTTTGCTTATATATATATATATATATATATACAAAAGGCCGAGGTTCGCTCTTCGCTGAACTGCACCAATATAGGATGTTTTGCAGAAAACAGCCTCGCCCTGAATAGTATCACGCTGCATATTTAGGGGCTAGCCTAAGATTACCCGAAATGATTGGTGGAAAGCTCGTCGCACCATCTGCTATAAATGAAGCCAATACTATTATTTGCCAGGATACGAGAAAGTTTTGACAAATACCTTTATCAGGTGATTCGGATTGCGGATCAGCTGGGACACTCCGCAACAGATTACCTGAGAAACCAGGGTTCATTGACTGTAGACATGTTATCCTACTCTCATTCACTGGTTAGAGCTGGACATGCTAAGTGTACAGACCCTGAAAATGTTTTGTGTTCTGTCGATTCCCCAGAAATGATTCACGGCGTTGGTATTTGGTCGAACAAGTTTCTACAGACAGAAGCTCGATCGTAGCATGGTACTGCATCAGCCATGTCGGCATCTATCTAGGGTTCACTTGACCCCTTTTCACTGACCAATCATGATCGAAATCATAGCAGCTTGGAGTGTATTGGACAGAATCTAATGTCCAAAGTCCTGCTTCAGAATGTGCCATCTGTGAACACATCCCCTAAAATCCAAGGACAATAACTGGGTACTTTGGAAAACTTTACATACCTTGGTGGTTTTAATTAGCTCCTACGGAAGTGTGCCTGGTGAGGTCAGTGCAAGAATCTCAAAGGTTCAAATCACTTTTATTAATTTGCGTCACTTGTGGCGTCAACAAGGCATCTCACTAGATCTCAAGGGTCGTGTACCACGCTACAGTGAGGGCTGTGTTGTTCTATGGGTACAAGACATGACTTCTGCGGACAGATGATGTGAGGCGTCTTCAGGCCTTCGACCGCCGATGCCTCAGAAGCGTGGCTGGTTTTGGATGTCAGCGTATTAGTAACGAGGTGATTAGAAAAAGGGTATTTGATTGTGCTGCAGGCCCCTCAATCCGAGGAAACATCCAGCATCATCGACTACGATGGCTGGGTCATGTGCTACGCATGCCGAAACACCGTCTACCGAGACGAGTGTTGTTCTCCGTGCCTTCTTCAGGATGGCACAAACCGTGAGGTGGAGAGCACATGACTTGGCAGAAAGGCGTGAAAGAGATCACGAAGAGTTTGGGTGCTGTTGGTGTTGTGCGACTTCTAGGATGGGGTCCCGTGACCCCATCTGTGCTTGGCTGGAGACGTTGCCAGAAATGGCGGCTAATCGATGTCAGTGGCGTTCGTGCTTTCAGTGTCTTTCCAGGTTGTTTGATCGAACGCTTGGGTGTGTAGGCACCTCTGAATGCTTGACATAGGTCAGCACCAGGTCCCCTCCCTTACCCACTCTTTCTCTTCTTTTCATCCTAGGGCTTTTAATATAATTATATATGTATACTGTATATAGGCGAACCTTATGGTTGTACGGCAGTGAAGCATCAATGACAACACTGATGTTACTGTCTTTGATGATGATGATGGTGATGATGGGCCCGAAGACGTCTCTACAGAAAACTCCTAGCAACCTAGTTGTGCACTTGTGTTAAGGCGTTCACTAGATACGTCATTGTTTTGTCAATG